TTCCCTGAATCCCTTCACTAAATATTACCCTGCTCATACTCCAACAGATCGTCAGGTCCCAAGTACCATTCGTCTCCATTCACTCCTATCTAACACGCTCACGCACGCTTGCTGGAAGTCCAAGCCCCTTGCCCACAAAACCTCCTTTACCCCCTCTCTCCAACCCTTTCGAGGATGACCCCTACCCCACCTTCCTTCCCCTATAGATTTATATGCTTTCCATGTCATTCTACTTTGATCCATTCTCTCTAAATGACCAAACCACCTCAACAACCCCTCTTCTGCCCTCTGACTAATACTTTTATTAACTCCACACCTTTTCCTAATTTCCACACTCCGAATTTTCTGCATAATATTTACACCACACGTTGCCCTTAAACAGGACATCTCCACTGCCTCCAACCGTCTCCTCGCTGCTGCATTTACCACCCAAGCTTCACACCCATATACTTTCATACATTCCCTTCTTTGCCTCCCTAGATAACGTTTTTTGACTCCACATATACCTTAATGCACCACTCACCTTTTTTCCCTCATCAATTCTATGATTAACCTCATCCTTCATAAATCCATCTGCCGACACGTCAACTCCCAAGTTTCTGAAAACATTCACTCCTCCCATACTCCTCCTCTCCAATTTGATATCCAATTTTTCTTTATCTAAATCATTTGAGACCCTCATCACCTTACACTTTCTACCTTTACACACATTCAGAAACTCATCCACTAACCTTTGCAATTCTTCTTTAGAATCTCCCATAAGCACAGTATCATCAGCAAAAAGTAACTGTGTCAATTCCCATTTTGAATTTGATTCCCCAAAATTTAATCCCACCCCTCTCCCGAACACCCTAGCATTTACTTCCTTTACAACCCCATCTATAGATATATTAAACAACCATGGTGACATTACACATCCCTGTCTAAGATGTACTTTTACCGGGAAGTAGTCTCCCTCTCTTCTACACACCCTAACCTGAGCCTCACTATCCTCATAAAAACTCTTTACAGCTTTTAAATTTAACTTACCACCTTTTCCATATACTTGCAACATCTGCCACATTGCTCCTCTATCCACTCTATCATATGCCTTTTCTAAATCCATAAATGCAATAAAAACTTCCCTACCTTTATCTAAATACTGTTCACATATATGCTTCAATGTAAACACTTGATCTACACATCCCCTACCCACTCTGAAACCTTCTTGCTCATCCGCAGTCCTACATTCTGTCTTACCTCTAATTCTTTCAACTATAACCCTACTGTACACTTTTCCTGGTATACTCAGTAAACTTATTCCTCTATAATTTTTACAGTCTCTTTTGTCCCCTTTCCCTTTATATAAAGGGACTATACATGCTCTCCGCCAATCCCTAGGTACCTTCCCCTCTTTCATACATTTATTGAACAAAAGTACCAACCACTCCAACTATATCCCCCCCCTGCTTTTAACATTTCTGTCATGATCCCATCAGTTCCAGCTGCTTTACCCCCTTTCATTCTACGTAATGCCTCACGTACCTCCCCCACACGTACATTCTGCTCTTCTTCACTCCTAAAAGATGGTATACTTCCCTGACCAGTGCATGAAATTACTGCCTCTCTTTCTTCCTTAACATTTAAAAGTTCCTCGAAATATTCTCGCTATCTACCTAATACCTCCATCTCCCCATCTACTAACTCCCCTACTCTGTTTTTAACTGACAAATCCATACTTTCCCTAGGCTTTCTTAATGTGTTTAACTCACTCCAAAGTTTTTTCCTATTTTCATTAAAATTTCTTGACAGTGCCTCTCCCACTCTATCATCTGCTCTCCTTTTGCACTCTCTCACCACTCTCTTTACCTTTCTTTTACTCTCCATATACTCTGCTCTTCTTATAACACTTCTGCTTTGTAAAAACCTCTCATAAGCTAACTTTTTCTCTTTTATCACACTCTTTACTTCATCATTCCACCAATCACTCCTCTTTCCTCCTGCCCCCACCCTCCTATAACCACAAACTTCTGCCCCACATTCTAATACTGCATTTTTAAAACTATTCCAACCCTCTTCAACCCCCCCACTACTCATCTTTGCACTAGCCCACCTTTCTGCCAATAGTTGCTTATATCTCACCCGAACTTCCTCCTCCCTTAGTTTATACACTTTCACCTCCCTCTTACTTGTTGTTGCCACCTTACTCTTTTCCCATCTACCTCTTACTCTAACTGTAGCTACAACTAAATAATGATCCGATATATCAGTTGCCCCTCTGTAAACATGTACATCCTGGAGCCTACCCATCAACCTTTTATCCACCAATACGTAATCTAATAAATTTCTTTCATTACGTGCTACATCATACCTTGTATATTTATTTATCCTCTTTTTCATAAAATATGTATTACTTATTACCAAATCTCTTTCTACACATAGCTCAATTAAAGGCTCCCCATTTACATTTACCCCTGGCACCCCAAATTTACCTACTACTCCCTCCATAACATTTTTACCCACTTTAGCATTGAAATCCCCAACCACCATTACTCTCACACACTTGATTCAAAACTCCCCATGCATTCAGTCAACATTTCCCAAAATCTCTCTCTCTCTCCTCTACACTTCTCTCTTCTCCAGGTGCATATACGCTTATTATAACCCACTTTTCACATCCAGTCTTTATTGTACTCCACATAATCCTTGAATTAATACATTTATAGTCCCTCTTTTCCTGCCATAGCTTATCCTTCAACATTATTGCTACTCCTTCTTTAGCTCTAACTCTATTTGAAACCCCTGACCAAACCCCATTTATTCCTCTCCATTGAAACTCTCCCACCCCCTTCAGCTTTGTTTCACTTAAAGCCAGGACACCCAGCTTCTTCTCATTCATAACATCCACAACCATCTCTTTCTTATCATTTGCACAACATCCACGCACATTCAGGCTTCGCACTTCGACAATTTTCTTCTTCTTATTCTTTTTAGTAATCTTTACAGGAAAAGGGGTTACTAGCCCATTGTTCCCGGCATTTTAGTTGGCTTTTACAACATACATGGCTTACAGAGGAAAGATTCTTATTCCACTTCCCCATGGATATAAAAGGAAAAGTAATAAGACCAAGAACTATTAAGATAAAATCAAAGAAAACTCAGATGAGTGTGTATAAATAAATGTGTACATGTATGTGTAGTGTGACCTAAGTGTAAGTAGAAGTAGCAAGACATGCCTGTAATCTTGCATATTTATGAGACAGACAAAAGACATCAACAATCCTACCATCATGTAAAACAATTACTTCACAAAAGTACCTACCACAAAAGCCATCGAGGTTCTACGACGTAAAGTCAATCAGGACCTTAATCTTCCTCTACCTCCCGGAGATTTTGTTGACTTGATTGAACTTTGTGTTAATTTCAACTGTTTTTCTTTCAATAATAAGCTCTACAAACAAACCTACGGCATGGGTATGGGGTCCCCCATCAGTGCCGTCCTAGCCAACTTATACATGGAACACCTAGAGTCCGAACACTTCGCCAACATCATCCCTTCAAGCGTCACTTGGTTACGTTACGTGGACGACGTCCTCGTAATAACTCCCAAACGTTTTGATGTACGGAATCTTCAGGCAAGGCTCAACGCAGTTGAACCGGCGATCCAGTTTACACTAGAAGAAGAGTCCAATGACAAGCTACCTTTCCTCGACGTCCTCATTCACAAAGTAGACAACAACCTAAGATTTCAAGTTTATCAGAAACCTACCAATAAAAACGATCTCACACACTTCTATTCCAGTCAAGATACCAAGACCAAAAGAGGCATCATCATCGGGTTTTTCCTAAGAGCATACCGAATTTGTAGTCCTGAGTTTCTTGACGAGGAATGTTCAAACATTCACTGAGTTACATTTTCCTTCCTTTTTCATCAAAGACTGCAAGAAAAGAGCTCTTCAGATCATTAATTCTCCACGCACCAACACCACTCCCAACAAAGTTATAATTCTTCCCAACAGCCAGGTTGCACTGAACGTTTCTAAAGTACTTTCACAAGCTAACACCAGAGTCGCCATCGCTTCTAGCACTTCAATAAAGGATCTAACCAGGACAAAATCAAAGCACCACGAACCAGTCAACGCAGGAGTTTACACTATACCCTGTGGAGGCTGTGACAAGATTTACCTAAGCGAAACAGCAAGAAACCTCGACACCCGCCTCAATGAATACATTTATGCATGTAGGAACGATAACTTGAACAACGCCTGTGTACAACACCGAAATTCCAATAGTCATCTCATGAAATTCAGGGACGCCCAATTAGTGATCAAAGAAACTAACTTCAGTAGACGCAAGTGCCTCGAATCAGCACTGATCGCTGTTTCGAATACAATTAAACAAAACAACGGCAGCTTCACCATCTCTGAAGTCTTAGCAAGAATCCTCCTGAAAACAGTAAACCCTGCCATCACATAGTCTCTCCTGTTATACTACACAAAGCACATTACAGAGTGAGCACTGAAACAGGCTGCCTCTATCCAGTCTATATTTGTCCAACCTAATTTTATGTTACCCAAGTAATAGCTTTTATATCCTTTTACTCATGTATGAATTAATTGCTCTACCATATTGTATTACTACTACCACTACAACTTTTGTCACTACTACTACTACTACTTCTACCACTAGTATTGCACCTCACTCTGAGCCTATATATACCCTCTGTGTCCATGTATTGTTTGTAATGGCTTGATAAAGCTCCTGGAGAGCGAAACGTTGCCACAATAAAATGTCACATTAGTTGCACTTGTGTCCTTTTACTTTACAGGGACAAAGTTGGTTCGAAAAAAGGGTTCTATTTTCGAAGAGTTCAATAAGCGATACGTTCAAAATTTGTGGTTCCACTGTAGTTGATATTAAATAATTAGATTACGAGTTTAATAAAAAATTATGGGTCTTAAAATTAAATAATATTAGCATTGTACTATATGATGATTAGCTGTCTTTTTTTTACTTCACAGAACTTTTGAAGGTTTCGGATTGTAATGTGATATCAGTGGATTGGCCAGCAGGAGTTTCGTGGATGCTACTGTCATATTATACTGCTGTAAGTACAGTTCCCTATGTGGGCCAAGATACAGCTCTCCTTCTCAAGAGCCTTGTCGCCCATAAAGCCTTAAACCTTAAGGATGTACATTTCGTAGGACATTCCTTAGGTGCTCATCCTCTGGACTGGCATCAAAACCTTTTAAAGGAAAAATTGGACGTATTACAGGTATGTACAAACTGTTCTTTAATCCTGTAAATACTGTCTGTTAAGTGTGTTTGGAAAGTAAATGTTTACATACTTTTCAGTTTTCTTGAAACATTTCAGATTCCTTTCCTAAATTTTAAAAACAGTATTTCCCATCTTGTCTGGTCCTATTTTCATCTTGTAAACATCCAGTAGTAGCTTCTTGACCTCCTCTTCAGATATTTCAAATGGTGGTTGCTTAGGGCGTTGATCTGAAGCAGTGAAGGAATTCTTTTTTTTGGTAAACACATTCTATAACTTTATAATTAGTATTTTGCACATTTTCTCCAACTTAGTACAGGATGGCCCCACTTATACAGCAGGTTAGGTTCTGGGTTACTGTTGTAAAGCAAAAATGACTATAAAGTGAAACATTGCTTTTTTTAACTTTCAAATGCATATAATAGCCTGATAACATGTTTACACTATCATATATTAAGTGAGCAACAGAGATAGGCCTTAAAAAGCATATACAGTGGACCCCCGGTTAACGATATTTTTTCACTCCAGAAGTATGTTCAGGTGCCAGTACTGACCGAATTTGTTCCCATAAGGAATATTGTGAAGTAGATTAGTCCACTTCAGACCCCCAAACATACACGTACAAACGCACTTACATAAATACACTTACATAATTGGTCGCATTTGGAGGTGATCGTTATGCGGGGGTCCACTGTACAGTAAACACGTTACTTAACCTTAACCTTATAGTATTCATCCTTAGCTTATAGCGAAGGGTAAGTATACTATATTTATTGTAGGAAGTCTGAATAAATGAAGAATAGGTATAACTGAAAACCATTGAATTAGCAAAATGTTGTAAAGCGAAATGCTGTGAGGAGGGGCTCTCCTGTACTTGCGTACAGTGGACCCCCGCATAGCGAACGCCTTGCATAGCGAACATTCCGCATAGCGAACGCTTTGATCGCTAAAATTTTGCCCCGCATAGTAGACAAAAACCCGCTCAGCGAACTTCGTCCGAGACGCGTCCAATGTGCGGCCTCGGCCAGCCTCACATGTGCCGCCTGTCCCATTGTTTACCAGCTAGCCTCCGCGGTAACATTCAAGCATACACTCGGAATATTTCGAATTATTACAGTGTTTCGGTCTGTTGTTGAAAATAGTGACCATGGGCCCCAAGAAAGCTTCTAGTGCAAACCCGGGTAAAAAGGGTGAAATAGTAGGAAATTAAGAAAGATTTTGAAGGTTTTGGGGTAAAACCCCGAGAAGCCTATGCCAGTTGTGGAATCCATTGTGCCTACTTCAAAATTAAGGAAATGTGTGCACGTGGGTTAACTGCAAACCTTTATGGATGAAAATCACCCTGACACAGCTGTTGAAAGGGGTGCTGTGACTAATTCAATGACAATTTATGCCCATTTTAGACAAATCGTAAAGGAACGGGAGGTACAGAGGCTAAGGACCCGAAAGAAGTCCAGTGACTCTCAAGCTGGTCCTAGTGGCAATTTAAAAAAAGAAGGGAAGTAACCCCGGAAAAGGACTTGCCTCCTCAAGTGTTAATGGAAGGGGATTCCCCCTTCTAAACACTAACACTCTCTCTCCCCCCTCCCATCACCTCCCAACATCACCAGATCTTCAAAAAGTAAGTGTCATGTAATTGTGCATCCTTTTTCAGTTTGGTGACTAAAATAACATTTTTTGTGGTAAAAATTTTTTTTCATACTTTTGGGTTTTTGCACGGATTAATTTAATTCCATTAATTTCTAATGGGGAAAATTAATTCGAAAAGCAACATTTCGCATAACGACCCGCCCTCTTGCACGGATTTTAAATTGCTATCGGGGGTCCACTGTAATTGTTTTTTAATTCTTTGTGCTTGTCTTCACATTTTTTTTTTTGTCAAACTTTTCTTCCTTGTTTTATCTTGACAGTTTTTTTGTCATGTGATAAAAATATTGTATGCAAATTTTACAATAAGACCATATATATGGACTGGAATGTTAAAAGCAGGGGGGGATAAAAGATTTGGAGTGTTGGGACTTTTGTTTTAAATAAATGAAAAGGGAGGTAACCTAATTGGCGGAAGAATTTATATCCCTTATAAAAGGGAAAGGGGACAAAAGAAGATTAAAAATATAAGGAATAAGGGTTTCGAGGTATGAACAGGAAGTTAAGGGTGGGTTATTTTAATTTAAAAATTAGAGGTAAGACCAAGTGGATTGCGGAAGCAAGAGAGCCCCCAAGTAAAAGGGGAATGGAAAAAGATGTTTCATTAAAAACCCAATTTTTTTTTTTCAAGTGGGCGTCTCCACAGAGGAGGTACCAAAAAGAAAGAAATCCCAAAAAGAAAACTTTTAAATCAAATTTTTATTCAAACAAAATTTAACCCCCCAACTCACACTTTATCACTGCCCCTTTTGCAAATGCTTTCAGAATTACAACAGTTTAGAAGCATATACGTAAAAAAGATACACAACATATCCCTCCAACTGTCAATATCCAAACCCCTCCTTTAAAGTGCAGCATTGTAACTTACCATTTCCAGGGCTCAAGTCCGACTAATGAAATAACCGCTTTCCCTAATCCCTTCACTAAATTTTCCCTGCTCACACTCCAACAGATCTCAGGGCCCAAGTACATTCGCCCCCATTTACTCCATCTAACACGCTCATGCAACGCTTGCTGGAAGTCCAAGCCCCTCGCCCACAAAACCTTTATCCCCTCTTTCCAACCCTTCGAGGACGACCCCTACCCCTCTTTACTTCCCCTATAGATTTAATAGCTTTCCATGTCATTCTACTTTGATCCATTCTCTCTAAATGACCAAACCACCTCAACAACCCCTCTTCTGCCCTCTGACTAATGCTTTTATTAACTCCAACACCTTCTCCTAATTTCCACACTCCGAATTTTCTGCATAATATTTACACCACACATTGCCCTTAGACAGGACATCTCCACTGCCTCCAACCGTCTCCTCGCTGCTGCATTTACCACCCAAGCTTCACATCCATATAAGAGTGTTGGTACTACTATACTTTTATACATTCCTTCTTTGCCTCCATAGATAACGTTTTTTCGACTCCACATATACCTCAACGCACCACTCACCTTTTTTCCCTCATCAATTCTATGATTAACCTCATCCTTCATAAATCCATCCGCTGACACGTCAACTCCCAAGTATCTGAAAACATTCACTTCTTCCATACTCCTCCTCCCCAATTTGATATCCAATTTTTCTTTATCTAAATCATTTGATACCCTCATCACCTTACTCTTTTCTATGCTCACTTTCAACTTTCTACCTTTACCCACATTCTCAAACTCATCCACTAACCTTTGCAATTTTTCTTTAGAATCTCCCATAAGCACAGTATCATCAGCAAAAAGTAACTGTGTCAATTCCCATTTTGAATTTGATTCCCCATAATTTAATCCCACCCCTCTCCCAAACACCCTAGCATTTACTTCTTTTACAACCCCATCTGTAAATATATTAAACAACCATGGTAACATTACACATCCCTGTCTAAGACCTACTTTTACCGGGAAGTATTCTCCCTCTCTTCTACACACCCTAACCTGAGCCTCACTATCCCCCTAAAAGCTCTTTCCCGCATTTAGTAACCACCTTTTCCATATACTTGCAACATCTGCCCCCTTTGCTCCTCATCCACTCTATCAAAATCCCTTTTTCAAAAATCCATAAATGCAAAAAAAGTTTCCCCTACCTTTACCCAAAAATTTCCTGTTCACATATAGGTTTTAAAAGAAAACCCCTTGATTTTACACCTCCCCTCCCCAACCTCTGAAGCCCCTTGCCCCATAGGCAATTCTAAAATTCTGCCCAAACCCTCAAATTCTTTTAAATTTATAACTCAAAAAACCGAATACTTTTCCTTTTAAAACTCAGTAACTTATTCCTCTATAATTTTTTTAAAATTCTCTTTTGCCCCCTTTTTCCCTTTTAAAAAAAGGGGGACTATACATCTCCCCCCGCCAATCCCTAGGAAACCTTCCCCTCTTTCATACTTTTTATTAAACAAAATCCCAAACCACCCCAAAACACTAATCCCCCCCCCCCCCCCCCCCTTTTAAAACTTTTCCCTTGTCAGGATCCCATCATTTCCCCAGCGGCTTTCCCCCCTTTTTCCTTTCAAAGAAATTCCTCACGTACCTCCACCACATTTACTTTTCTGCTCTTTTTCACTCCAAAAAAGAGGGTAAACCTCCCGGGCCATGCATGAAATTACCACCTTCCCTTTCTTTTTTCCTAAAACATTTAAAAGTTCCTCAAAAATTCCCCCGCCATCTACCTAATACCCCGTCTCCCCCATCTACTAACCCCCCCTGCCTGTTTTTTTTTGGAAAAAATCCATACTTTCCCTAGGCTTTCCTTTAAATTTTTTTAACCACTTTCCCAAACTTTTTCTTATTTTCATTAAAATTTCCCCTTTACATACATGTGGAAAAGTATTTAGATAAAAGGAAAGGGGAAATTTTTTTTTGCATTTATGGATTTAAAAAGGGATATGGGTAGAGGGTAGAGGAGCAAAGTGGCAGTGTTGCAAGTACATATTTGGGTTTGGTGTTAATTTTCTAAAACTGTAAAGAGCTTTTAAGAGGTTTGGAGGCTTTAGGGTTGGGTATGTAGAAGAGAGGGAGAATACTTCCCGGTAAAAAATAGGTCCCTTTAAAAGGGAAAGTGTAATGTCACCATGGTTTTTAATATATTTAAAAGATGGGGTTGTAAAAGAAGTAATTCAAGGGGGTTTTTGGGAAAAGGGGGGGGATTAAATTTTGGGGAATCAAATTCAAAATGGGAATTGACACAGTTTAAATTTTTTCTGAGATACTGTGCTTATGGGGGATTCTAAAGAAAAAAAATTTCAAAAGGGTTTGTGATGAGTTTGAGAATGTGGTAAAGGTAGAAAAAATTTTAAATTTAACATAAAAAAGAGTAAGGTGAAAGAAGGGGACAAATGATTTTTGATAAAGAAAAATTTGGGTAAACAAAT